ACACTGTGATCTCCAACCTACCGAAACATGATTTTCCATGTTTAGAGAGTAATTACTAGAAGTCAAATTGAATGTAACTTTGATGGATAAACCTGTTGGAAACAAACACATTGTTTACTTCAGTGCATAGGCCCTGTGGTGCAGCTGCGTGTCAGGACCTACGAGCTTTGTGGTGCAGCTGCATACCATGGTTTCAACTTCTGAGTCATGTTTAATTATTAGAAAGTTCTGTCGTGGGCGTGTGGTTAAATAAAAAGTCTGCCCTGAATGACACACACACACACACGCGCACACACACACGCACACGCACGCACACGCACACACACACACACACACACACACACACACACACACACACACACACACACACACACACACACACACACACACACACACACAAAGCTGTGACTCTGCATCCAGCGCCTGTGGTGTTAAATCAGTGTGAGAGGTGGCGTGAGAGATGTGTGTGTGTGTGTGTGTGTGTGTGTGTGTGTGTGTGTGTGGCTCTTATTTGTTTCTCGCACCCAGTGGCGTGAAAATCAAACAAAGCGCCTGGAGCCTAGTGACAAGAAAACAATAAACAGTTCCTGACGGCAATACAAACTAAAATCTGTTTGTTGCGTTGGTGTGTGGGAGTGCAAATGAATAAAGGACAAAGAGGAGGGGGGGGAGTCAATGAGTAATCCGGTTCATGAGAAATAAGTGCAGACAATTTACGTTCACCGCTTACCCTTCAAGACCCCTCCCACCAATCACAGCTGAAGCCTGGCCTGCAGCAGCCAATCACTGGACGTGCAGAGTACGCCCACTTCCTGTAACACTAACCGCAGCATTCCAGCAGGTAAACTACTGCAGTCGCCTCTAAATGGACAATTAGCCAAGATTAAAGGAGAAGTCCTCGTCTTTCCCCATTAACTTCATTAGGAGGAAAAGACATCTCGAATGACCCCCGTGCTCCCTTTAGCCCCCTCCTCCCCCTCCTCTCTCTCTCTCTCTCTCTCTCTCTCTCTCTCGTCCAGCTTCTTAGTTGGAGAGTTGTATTTACAGTAACTATGGGAAGAGGACATCCAGGAGTTCACATCTGGGAGCTCCGATGAAACATCTGGAAGTTAAAGTGCATTGCTCAAGTGGTAACCTGAAGTTGCCGAAAGGTCAGCGTGGCCGTCAGAGCACAGATTTACCCCGGCAGTCCTTCTTTCTCTCATTCCTTCATCCACACGTTATTCTTTTCAGAAATGCATGAAAAGCCGTTCTCCTGGCTGGCCCATATTGTGTATCTGAACATGTCGGGATTAACGGCTACATCGCTCTTAAAGACACTCTGACTGGATTAAATCCTTCACCAGCATCCCGCCGGACAGGAACGCACTTTTTCTTTCCATTAAGCCTCCAAAAAAAAAAAAAAGTTTAGGGCTGAATGCCCGTCTGCTCGTGTCCCTGCTGTGAAGCATTTAGAGTTTGCGATAATAAAATCTGAAAACAACACACAGGAGTTTACAAGATGAAATATGGTGGATGAAGCAACAACGGCCACATTAGTAGACTGCTTCTTCTTCACAGCTATAGACAGCTGTTTTATTTTCTGTGTCTATAAATGTTGAAACATGGTCAGAAGTCAGCTCCTTCATTATGTAATGCTCAGAATCCGATGCCCCGCCTGAGCTCCAGTGTTGAGGGAAGAGAGGAAATCTCTGTCCGGTCTGACGTTACCCTCCTTCTTCTTCTTTGTTGCAGTCCTCTCCTCTCATGCAAACCAATCAACTGCAACCTGAGCTGCTCTAATGGGGAGGGGGTGGGGGGGGTGGATGCTGCTTCATGAGTATCACTGGCTGTAAACCAAAAAGCTGGGGGCCCTGCACAGCGCACACAAACGTAAAAAAAAGTCCACACACATGCAGCTACCAGAGCAGAAAGTAAAGATAACAGGATGAGGCTGAGCCGGGTCGGCGTTATTAGACGGGAGGACTCTCAGCCGTCGAGGTCACTCAGCAAAGCAAACCCCCGTCGATACTCTACAGTGTGCACCGACGCACAAAAGACCACCGACTCCTATTTTCCATCCGACCTATTGTGATTTGTGCTTTTCGAAAAACAGAAATTCAGAGCTTAAACTGTGTGTGTGTGTGTGTGTGTGTGTGTGTGTGTGTGTGTGTGTGTGTGTGTGTGTGTGTGTGTGTGTGTTTTGCAACCACAGTCTCTACAAACTGTGGGGGACCCGACCACAGACTGCACACACTGAAGCCCACAGACTCCGATCCACCATCCATCTGTATCACCGTCACTATCATTGTTTTCACTCAGCTCCCCCCGCTATCGAGAACCTTCAGGGTCAAAGACACCCCCCCCCCCGATTTGACCGCCACTTCCCGCTCAATCAGAACATTTTCCAATAAGACCCGAAGCCAACGCTTCAATTGTCTCAGCAGGATCCAGGACTCTGGGGTAGGATCACCACTATCCATCTTGATACCTCTTGCTTTAACCTCCCACCCTCCCAAAGCAGCAGAAACCCACCAACCCCTGCCTGCCCCCTTAATGCCGGTCCAGATCCTCGGCTCTCCCACCGTCTCCAAACCTCAAACCACACGGCTCTAATGGGGGGGTTAAGAGGTAATTCCTATCACACTGCCATCATTTAATATCTAACCGAGGCTGACAGAGAGGAAGGTTACGAACCCCAAACCAGAAAGCCACCAGTAAACCTCCCACTCCTCCCTCTGAGTCTCCTACTGGTTCTCCCTCTTCTTCTTCTTCTGCCTCTCTGTATTCCTTTTTTTAACATTTACAAACTCTCCTGTCACCTTCTCGCGCTAAAGGAAATGAAAACACGGCGCTAAAAGTGTATGAAAAAAGAGATTGAATCCTTTTTTTTTTTTTAAGATTTACTTTTGGCTTTTTGTGCTTTTAATGTAGAGATAGGACAGTGGATAGAGCCGGAAATCAGGAAGAGAGATCGGGGAACGACATGCGGAAAAGGAGCCACAGGCCGGACCCGAACCGCCCGTCCGGAGGACCTCAGCCTCCACACATGGGGCGTGCGCTCTAACCACTGCGTCCCCCTCTTCAAATCCTTTGAGTGTCACCATACCTTTCAAAATACGTCAATGCTGCTTCCATTATTTTGCAGGAAACACAAAGTGAACCAGGATGTAAAGTCGATAAAAGTGGAAAAAAGAAAAGCGTCTGAAGCTTCGAGATGTTGAAGGAAAACTCTGTAAACAAACCTTGCTACCTGAGTCGATGCCAAGTCTGTAATTCGCTGAGAAAAAAAACAACGAATGCAAAAAAGGATCAAAAGTCCCGGCGAAGGAAGAGAAGGAGTGGAAAAGAGCGAAAAGAAAATCACAGGAGGAAACTCCAGACGCTGTAATTGAGATTGTGCTGATGGTGAAGTGGGGATATAAAGAACATGAGATTTATAATGTTCAGTTTGGAACACGTTCACGCTTTCCACTCGCTCACCGAGTCGACCGAATGCTCCACAGGGATCCATTATCGACCGGCGATAAATACGAGCCATCGAGAACAATTAGAGGTTTTATAGAAGAGAGAGCCAGGCGGAGAAGGAGATCGTCCGTCACTCATGAAGAAGAAGAAGACAAAGAGGTTTGAGTGAGTGAGTGAATGTGTTTCTATCTGTGTGGGATCCTGGAAGCCACAGTTGACGTAAATGAACAATCTGTTTTCAGCCTTGCCAGTCAGCGTCGCTGTCTTCAGCAATACATCACACTCTGCCACAGATATATGAAACATGGCATCAGTCTGTCAGGAGGTTTGGACCGAGGTTTCACAGCCTGCACCCCGCTGAGGAAGAATCAATCTTACTGTCACGGGGGATCGTATTAAGAAATCAGTACAGGAAACGTTTATTTTCATCTTCATAAACTCCTATTCATATGACCAGTTTCACTTTCTTTGTTGTTTGTTGTTGGACCACTTCACTTTGAATAGCATTGTGACCTTACTGAACATTTCTGATAATATTTTGCAGAAAGGTTTTCATTTAAATTTGTACATGTCGCTTTTTTCATGACCTGAAGCTTCCACAAAGTCAAACACAGAAGAAGACTTTTTTTTCCCTTCAACAAAGAAAGCTTCTGCCTCGTGGAAATATTATAAAAGGGAGGACGAGAAGTGAAAAGTATAAAGTCCCAGCGCTGGTATTCCCTATCCTTACACCTCACAACAAACACAAACTCATGACACCAGATACCGTAGAGGGATTTGGGTTGTGCATGCAAAACGCACAGCCACACAAACACAAGACATACAATGAAAAGCAACCAGCAACCAAAAGGGACACACACTTTACCTCGCACACACGCACACACACACACACACGCACACACACACACATGACCACGCAGTGTGAACCTCTAGTTTCACTTGAAGGCGGCCCAACGCAAACAGCCATAAAGTTTAGAAAGGGTTTCAACCTTCAACCTGAACCGACACAGACTCAGCGAGGAGAAGACAAATAGAGAACCTGAGTACGGAAAAGGGAGGCCGAGTGAGAGCACCAGCGGGACCCAAACACACAAAGAGAAAGAGAGAGAGAGAGAGAGTGTGTGTGTGTGTGTGTGTGTGTGTCTGGGAATGTGAGATGAAATAAACCAAAGAAGGAGGGAAAGTGGGAGGCTTCTCTGCATCACTTTGACCCACTCGTACACTCTGGGAAAAACGACATATTCAGGAATAAAATAAATCCCGTACAGGTCCAAGCTAAACATTCCCTGCAGGCACACATTCACCTCCTGCAAAATCACACAGACACCTGACAGTCTTTTTCACCTCTCGACAGGAGACACAGAGCGGCGCTGTGTGACCTGCCGCGGGACTTGAACCCTCGAGCCTGGATAAAAGTCCCGACATTGCACCGTGGCTGTGTTTTCAAATGGATCGCATGACACATCAAAAGAGACAGAAACTAGAGGCGGGGGGGGGGACTGTGAGAGATTGGGGGGGAGGAAAGAGAGAGAAGAGCAAACATAAACGTGTACTCACAGTCGTCCGAGTTTGGGGTTGGACTGGAAGAGAAGCTCTGGGAGGACCTGGAGTTTGTTTCTGTTCAGGCGACTGTGGGGTTAAGAAAAGGTAAAAAAGTCAATAATGTTTTTATTGGAGAGAAAAGTTCAAGAACACGCTCAAACGTCTCTGACCCTCGCTCCTCCATCGATGTAACTATCACCAACCAGGCGGCCGCATCACCTTCAAGGTCAGCAGGTTTTCCGGTTCAAAGGTTGAGCTCGTGTCTGTTTTTCCTCCAGGTTATCGTGCCGTGATATGTGGCGTGTGTGTGTGTGTGTGCGTCAGTCACTAGCTATAGCGCTGTAAGCTCTTTAAATAGTCGTCACGATCATCCTTGCATGTGCTTTGACCTGGGAGTGAAAGGTGGAACCAGTTTAGGGATCCACTTATTTGAGTTTGCACCCTGTAAATCTATGCAAATAAGTCAAAAAGACACAGTGCTGGCTTCTCCTACAACAATGCAGCAGCCAGTTTATCCTCCTTCTAACTTTAGATTCTGGTCCTGAATGCTCTGGATTTGTTTGGAACAGAGAAGTTAGTCAAACCAACAGGTGTTGCAGCAATGGACCAGCGGGCAAGAGAACTGGTTCAGACAGAAGTGATTGTACCCGATATAAAAAGCCTCTGCATGTTTCTAATAAGCTCCACGAGCTCAAACTAGGATCAATATTGGAGATGCTTTTGAAAAATGGAGAGAGGTTAGAACGCAGAAAGGTTTACAGACCGATGCAGAGCTGGATAAACACTGAAGCTTCAGTGTCCACCACATGGCAACCTGCGTGAACATCGACTCTAGAGAGGGGGGGGGAGACAGTTCTCTACAATGTTTAGAATTCTGACTGCAGTACCCATTTTAAACACTAGATGACAGAGTTACATACTGCTCATTTAACCTTAGTAAAAACAGCAAAATTATATAATGTTGGGGGAAAATCTGTTTGCAAAAGAGGCCAAAAACAATGAAGAGGGGGAACGAATGGCCTCACCCAACAGGTAGACTTGTGTGTGTGTGTGTGTGTGTGTGTGTGTGTGTGTGTGTGTGTGTGTGTGTGTGTGTGTGTGTGTGTGTGTGTGTGTGTGTGTGTGTGTGTGCAGACGCAGGGTGTGGTGTGCTGCAGCAGAGATAGAGGAGGACAGTGTGACTGCAGGGAGTGAAAGTGTTATCAAGCTACCAAAAGCATTCTGCTGAGAAACGAGGCGTGGAGGGGAAAAAGTAGAGGGGGGGGTCAGGGGGGTCACGGAGTAGTATCTGTGCTGGAGAAGACGCAGACACCAACCTTTTCACCCCGCTGATAATGATAATAAGACCCTGACTTTCACTCCTGTGTGCCCCCGATGGAAAGAGAGCGGCAGTCCAAGAAGAGATCTCCTCCATTTGAAATAATTGACCCCTGCTCCGAGAGAATAACTGCTCGTACCCAAAGTGAAACACGTGATCGGCTTCTATTACACTTATGAGTCACTTTAAGACGTCGGCTCACAAATCTGCCCCTGGGTTTTTTTTTTTTTAAAGGATTCCTTTGTGTATTTCTTACAAAATAATGACGAGCTCACTTTGAAATAACACCAGGCCACAAGCTGATGGCCGCTATATATTTAGAATTTTGGGAAATGGGCGCTAAGAATCAGAATCAGATCCAGCAGAAATGGTCCAGAGACTTTAGACAAATAATCTCAGAGGCAGCCCAAAAGCTCAAAATCCAGAAATGGGATCTATTTTTGTTAGGAAAACCAAATAAAAAAACACTTTGCACAGCATAAACCTTATTCTCTTAGCAAAACGTCAACGTCTTAGACCTCTTAGGAGACTAAAGAGCTGCTAATTTGTTCAAAATTAACCAATAAGATGAACTCTCCATATTTCATGTTTTGACTTACATGAATCCCCTCCCCCCCTAAAGAGTTGACTCCATGTTTTTCACATTGTGACGCCATAAATCACACAGGCTCAGCATCGAGACCTCTCGCCCCCGACCTTTCACCCTAACAGGCGGAACATCAGAGGAGCTGTCAGCTAAGCATTTTAAAAAGCATTTCACTATCAGAGGAGTCAAAACATTCAGGAGCCTCATGCTCCGAGTCCCAACAGCCAACCACCTCATCGACTGAACGACGTGGCGTAAAAGAGGCGTTATTTTCAAACAGGCTTAGATCAATGAAATGCTCCTCGGCCTCGACCTTTGACCCGCCCTGACACAGCGCGTTAAAGAGCCTTTTAACACCGCAGCAGCCCGTCACCTCTCGCTCTCTCTATCAGACGCGGGATCTTCATTTAGAGAGACGCACATGTTGCCGCCACTCAGAGTCATCTGGCCTTGAAGTCAGAAACATCATGACTGTGAGAAAACATCTGTGAGCAAAGCGTGCTTAAGGTCCTCTGATTCTTAGCATGGACCTGCGTCTGCGCTCACCACATCATGAGGGAAACGAAGATTCTCAGGCATGATGCTCCGACGTAAACACGTTTGGCATTTTGATTTCTGCTCGTTAAAAAAAGCCATTACTCAGTGCTGGTTGCTTCCTGACCCCACAACACATTTTTTTCTTATAGTCCACTGCACAGCTTCTACATTGCACCTTTTGTCAATTTTTATTTTTAATTTTTTTAATATTTAATATTTTACATTTTTCAATTCTATTGTATATATTGTAATAGCTTTTTATGGTTTATTATTTAAGTTTTGCTAGTTCTACTTTATTTCCTTGTTAATTGTTTAGCACCAATACACCATGTCAAATTCCTTGTATGTGTAAATGTACTTGGCAATAAACCCCGATTCTGATTCTGAACTTTTGAAGAAGTGTCCGACAGGTTTAGCCTCCATGTTTTATGACATAAATATTCTGTCCAAGAAAAAAACAATCTGACACACAGCCTGAACAGATTCATCAATGAAGAATGTTTTCAGCTCCAGTCTGAGTCTAACTGACCGTGAATCTAAGACTGTGCAGAAACTTGAAATGATGCTCTCATCAGCTGCAGCTACACGCGTTGTGATTGGCCGTCTGAAACCAGGTGATTTCCTCCGGCAGAGGCATAAACATACAGGTGTGTGTGTCTGTGTGTGTGTAAATGTTGTGTTGTGCACTCACACCTGGAGTCTGTTGACTAGAGCCTTAGTGTGAGCTGAAGGACACACGCACGCACGCACACACACACGCACACACGCCACGCACCACGCACACGCACCACACACACACACACACACACACACACACACACGCACAAACAAGCATGAACGCTGAACAAGGCGGGAAAAGTGACAAATTCCTCCACGGTGTGTGAAGTGGATGGACTCCAGTGACATTCAGGTACATTCTGTGTGTATGTGTGTGTGTGTGTGTGTGTGTGTGTGTGTGTGTGTGTGTGTGTGTGTGTGTGTGTACACAGAATGGACAACAGCAGGTCACTGTGTATGCAAGTCATGGTTAAATGTGTGTGACTTTGTGGACCCTGGGAGAACATGGGTGCATGTTTTTGGGACACTCGGGTGTTCATGTGTTGCTTCCTGGTTGGTGTCCGCGAGCATTCAGCGACCTGAAGTTAGCATGAGCTGTTGTCTCGAGGTAGCAGCGATATATATATATATATATATATATATATATATATATATGATGGTACACTTACAGTCTCTCTAGCAGTCGGAGGTCTTGGAAGGCTCCTCGCTCGACTACAGTGATCTGGTTGTCCTCCAGGTGACTGTGGGGACGAACATGGAGACACAGAGAAAAGGACAACAGATGTTTACCGATGAGATTATTCACAGAGACATATTTACATGAGTGAGCAGGGAGGGAACTAACAGGGAGTATCAAAACAGGCCAAAGAAGTCTCATGTGTAATATGTGTCTGCAGCAGACATTTCAAACTCCAGAGGTGGAACTGAGGGAGATCTTTGTAGTTAGGGTTACACATGTGCAGCCAGGCTGAGCTGGAGATTCACTGTGAGAGGAGAAGCAGCAGATAAATCTCCTGCAGTGGACGGATGGAGCTTCAGCCGCATGCCAGAGAGAAACTTAGAGATCTTCTAACATGGAAGGAGACACTCGCACATTTTTAAGGTAATTGTATAAACAACAAGAAACAAGAAATCACTGCATGGGGAAAAAAAAAAGAAGAAACGACCTGGCATGAAGCGAAGGTTTAAAAAGTAAAAGAAGCTCAGCATTTCACCAATGTCATGACGAAATGAGCCAAAACAAACACTCAACAACCCGTCGCCCTCCCACCCCTCAGACGAGATCTCCCCTCCATGTCTCCTCTGCAGTGTGTGTGTGTGTGTTATGTTTTGGGGCAATATAAGGTATTCCAGACAGGACAGAGTTAAGAAGAGAGAGAGAGAACCTCTTCACTGATATGTGTGTTTATGTTATCTGTCGAAGAAAGTTAAGAGTGACATCTTCGAAAAGAAGACGAGGAGGAGGAAGAGGAGGAGGAGGAGGCTGTAACACTATTAAAGAAAAATGAGGATAAGTAGAATAGGTCAACTTTAATGATGTCCAACCCAGAAGGTCATAAAGCATGCAGCGGTTAGTGAGGGGTTTCACATTTATATCAAACTATCAAATGAACATATTGGGGGAAACTGCAAACATCCAGCAAACTGGGACCAGTTTAAAAAAACTCACACGGAAACCCGACGACAGCAGGAGGAGAAACGTCTGATTCCTCAGCTGACACAAACTGACAGGTGCAAAAACAAAGTGCACAGACGATGCACAGAAATGCACACGCAGCACTAATGTGCAGTGTCAGATTTGTGTGTAAACACGGGGAGAGTAAACACAGGTAAAGTGTTCTGCTTTGGTAGCAAACATACCCAAACACACGTGTAAACAATGCACAGGCCGGACTCCAGCACATCAGTCATTCTTCACGGAGCAGCAAGCGTCGGAGCAGCGTGCTGTTCCACGCTCGCTGCAGCAGAGAGTATCGCCTCAACCAGAGCGAGGGAAATCAAGACTTGGAGTAATTGTTGAAATGAGGGATTTTCCGCACGCTGACTCAATGTATGAAGACGAGGAAGGCCAAGGCGTCTACAGCCAAACACATGTTGTGTGGAGTCGATGCTGGCACGCCGCTCAGATGAGGTATTGTTTTTAGATCGCTCTGTATTAGGCGGCAAGATGGAGAAACAGGGAGGAGACATGTTTTAATGTCATCTGGTGTGTCTGATAACTCTCTCCTCAACAATATAACAACCATTATTAAACACATGATGACATCACGCTACCTTATGGCGCACTCGGAGCACTTGGCCCGTGCAGGAAACGAGGAAACACTTCAGGGGATATTAACTTCACAAGCTGTTGACGCACAACGGGTGAAGGTGGAATTAACTTTCCCCCGGCCAAATGTTCAATATCAGGTTTTCACCTACATCCAGATTTGTTTGGAGTTACTTCTCCACAATCTGGAAGAGATCTCGGGATGTGAGGCGGCCAAAGATATCAGGCGAGGTGTTGTGCCTGCAGAGACGAGCCTGTGATTACAGCGAGATGATGTGACGCTCCGATTCAAGAACATTCAGGCCGCTGGACGAGGTGACACCGTTTGGGAAGGAAAGCTGTGCTGAATGTTACATTGGATTAAAGCCCGCAGTCAGATTCAAAGGCTTTAGGGCTCGTGTCCACTAATGACCTTTTTTTTTTTTTTACACTTTTATGATTATTATTATTTTTTATTCAAGAGTTTTCAGCGCTCAGCGTCCTATCTGGCAGTTTCCACATTCCGCAGCGCGTTCACTACAGAAGCAGACCCGGTGGGCAGGGTGCACGCCATTGGACGGAGGAAAACCCACAGCGGTAAGCTTACTGATCAAACTGTCAGTCAACTTCACAGCGCTCACAGCGCCTGTTAAAAACAGGTCAACTTTTGGAGCAACGCTGTACTCGTCAGTGTCACTTTTCCCTCACCAGCCAATCAAAATCAAGAAGGGGCGGGACTCCGGTTCCTCAGAGTGATTTAAAACAGACACAGCGGTCTCTACAGAGGGAAGCAGAAGCGAGAGGAACAACTCTCGTAACCTAGCAACAGTAAAGAGCGTGTGAGAAGTGCTCTGAAATGTATTTGTTGGGCGCTACCTGCACATAGAAAAATGCCACAAGTGGGCAGAGGTACTCAACAAGTCCACATAAGATTTAAAATACAAACAAATGAGTCCCATTAAAATATATATATATCATGTATAGCTAAACTGTGAGTCAGTCTTTTCCACCGAGGACCAATCAGCAATAATCACCTGCCCGTTCACGCCTCTTCACGGGTACTGAGGACTGGCGCTATTAGCCTTCATGAGAAGAATGTTAGACGCAATAAACTACATGCAAACGTTTCCCGTGGGATGTATGTAAGTGCCCAGGAATCTCAGACGTGTGTGCGTTAAGTGTGTGTGTGTGTGTGTGTGTGTGTGTGTGTGTGTGTGTGTGTGTGTGTGTGTGTGTGTTTAAGAGAGAGGAATAAGAGGGAGAGATAAAGTGGTGGTAAATAACTGCAGCAAAGGTTAAAGGTTACACTCAGTGAGACCATGTCTGCCTTTGTTCCTGACTTCATATTGTATGCACTAGTGTGTGTGTGTGTGTGTGTGTGTGTGTGTGTGTGTGTGTGTGTGTGTGTAACAAAGTGTGTGTGTTCTTTCTCAGACTATCTTCTTCTTCTTCTTCCTAAGCCATCTCCTCCCTGTTTCTTTTAGGGATTTAGAGTGGGGAAATGTCACAGCAGTTTATCACCAACCACATGAAACGAGCTGCTGGCCAACCACACACACACACACGCACACACACACACACACAGGCGCGCATGCAGAAACACACACGCACACACAGACTGTGTCTCTCTCGCCCTGTCTCAGGTGCTAAAGACGCAGAAGTCCTCGCTCTCTTTATTGTCTTTCTATCTCCTCAAACACACACGGATAAAACCTGAAACATTAACCAATCCAATCCTCCATTGTCCTCACGAGTATGGTTATAACTGAACAAACACACACACAACCCTATTTCCACTCCTCAGTGTAGTTTGAGCCGGGAGTGTATTTTTATCTGCTGGTCTGGGTAAAACAGAGTGAGGAGGGAAGCTGCATGCAGCCAACAGTGATTATAGTTATTATAGGCCGAAAACACACACATACACACACACACACACACACACACTGAAGCCACTTGATGCAGAAGAGTGAGAGAGCCCTCGCAGTGGATTAGGACAGCTGAGAGGAGGCGAGGAGTCACACTCTGCTGAGAGCAGCCATTTAGACGAGTCAGCAAAGACTCCTTCTTCTTCATTCTCCCACGGATCATTCACCGCACAGAGGCAGACCATCGAACACAAAGGCAGGCGATCGAACAATGTGCGACTTTTTCATCCAGTAGATGTCGCCCTTGAGCTCCAGCATGAAACCAAAACAAACTGCTGTTTGGCCACACCTCCTCCATACTGAAGCCTCCGCTCTCCTCCAGAGACACACCTCCAACCCCTCCTCCACTCACGTTCACACAAAGGGGTTTCGCGCAAGCGGCGAACAACATTGTCCTTTGCCCTTGAGCTGCAATCACCTGTGTCCTGTTGTTGTGTTAGCATGCTAATGTTAGCGCTCTTGAGTTAGCACGTTAGCTTCAAGTGACACAGTATGAGCGTGATCTAAAAACTCTTACTAACATCCAAATAATCCGTGTGTATGTTCTTCTTCTTCTCTCTAGTCCTTGACTAAAACAGCTTTTATACACAAGGGGAGGAGCCGGCCGCCCAGTCCATGTAAACACGGCTCTGACAACAACACAGGCAGCGGGACTCGAGCTCCTCACTCATTGTAGACAGTCATGACTCAGAGACACATTTACACAGGATAGACTTGATTTATGAGATATTTATGTGGAACATTTTGCACATTCTTTCTTTTAAAGGAGGAATCTCATGAGTGTATTTCTTCTTAATTATGAAATGCGTTCTTATCTGTCTGAGAATCCTGATTTTGGAAAACATTAAATTTCAGCATTCCCAAACTGTTGCTCAGGGAGACACTGGAGATAAGAGAGGACACTGAGTTACATTACTCACACTTTTATGCAAACAGTTGCCAGATATTACAGCCTTGTTGCAGCAGCTGAATAACCCCTGTATGTCATATTTGCCGTGTGGTTGTTTCACCGAGTCCTGCAGCATGTAAGCTCACAGTAAGTCTATTATTCAACCTCCTAAATATTCAGTAATGACTAATGTACCTCTTTTGATTGGACCTCTGCATTCTCCCCTGCACTGAATCCCTCATTAGGACGACAAACTTTGATTTTATAGAGACCCGCTCCCCCTATAGCCACATACAGGCCCATTAGGTAAATATAGCATTAGCTTAATTGCTCCAGCATGGAGGGGTTGCGTTTCTTAATGGGGTTCCTTGTAAAGACACAAACACAGGTCACAGAGAGGAAAAAGAAAGACCTGCTGGTGTGTGCTGGAGTTAAAATCATGTCCTCTTACTGAATGACGTAAGAGGACGTTAGGTTTCTGCTTAAACACAAATAACTTGTGGTATAACTAGGTACGGTGATGCTAACACTTGTAAAGCTTTTTACGCTTTTATTAAGGGAAAGATTATCTTAAAAATCTCTGAACTGCAGCAGTTTTGTTTGGAAAATAAGCGGCGCCACAATGGACCATAGACTGTAAACATTTAAGCCTGTCTGTTCCTGCAGGGGGCGCTGGAGTCCCATCGATGGCGGTCTCCATGCTGGAAATACTGTCTCAGTTTAACTTTCAGTCAACCTAATGACAGGCTGAGAGCTGGAGCTGAGGCGGGTTTTAAGCCTCCTGGCAAACCGTTACACCGCGCCCTCCTGTCAATCATGTCAGCTACAAGCCTTATTGTGAATAACTCTTATCCTTCATCAAATCAAAACTGATGAGTCATCAAAACATTCACCCCCCGTACAATGTGTGCCGACTGAGACATGAGCTAATCAGACCTATTTGGTTTTTTGAACCAGGCTGTAAACATGTTAATCTCTGCTGTAAAAACAGGCTTTTTTAGAATGGGTGTGTATGTGACTTCCTGTGCTTCTGCAGCCAGCCTCTAGTGGACACTCGAGGAACTGCAGGATTTTACACTTCAACATGGGCTTCATTTTTTAATATAGGACATAGCTGCTTGGCCCTAATGACCATATCTGGAAACATCCGAAGCCATCAAACAGTTGACAAAATGTCTGCAGGAACTGAACGACATGTTTAAAGAAGCAAACACACTTACAGAATCCTGAGGTTCTTGAGGCCAGAGAAGTCCACCTTAGTGACTCTGGTGATGTTGTTTTTGTTCAGATCCCTGCAGAGAGAGAGAGAGAGACAGAGGGGTCGATCATGGGACTGTTAATTAAGAACATGACATAAATGTGACAGAGAACGAGCTGGAGAACACAAAACATGATTCCACACATTTCATCAAAGAAGACCCACAAAGTGTGTGTGTGATTGTGTGATTGTGTGCCGCTGTGTGTGTTCTCGCTCAGTGGAATTAGTGAATGTGGCAGCAGCACAGAGCGTGAGAATGCCCCACAGCGTGTGAGCCCACACACATCAACAACACAAACACACACATACACAACACACACACACACATACACACACACACACACACACACACACACACACACACACACACACACACACACACACACACACACACACACACACACACACACACACACACACACACACAGAGAGAAACATACAAACACAAACAAACAGAAACCGAATCACACAAACACTCCTACCGTAAAGTTACCGGGAGAATATGCAAGCAAACACACACACTCCTTCTCTCTCTCTCTCACTCACACACACACACACACACACACACACACACACACACACACTTGTACGTACGCACGCACACACACACACACTCAGCTCCTGCTGCTCTGAATTATGAGAAACAAACTCTCCAGCAGAAGTGGGATGAAATTATTTTCTCTTTCCATCATCAGAGTTTAAAAGCTTATCGTGTTTCCTGGCTGTCATTCAATCTGTTTTAACTACGGCTGCACAATGTATGCATACTGCAACATGAACTGACTGCCCAAGAGTGTGTGTGTGTGTGTGTGTGTGTGTGTGTGTGTGTGTGTGTGTGTGTGTGTGTGTGTGTGTGTGTGTGTGTGTGTGTGTGTGTGTGTGCGTAGACTTGTTCCCTGTTTATTGAAACGCTGTCGTACTGGAGGAATTAGGGCAAGGAAAAGAAAAACACGCACACATGGGAGCACAGACAAATAACACACACACACACACACACACACACACACACACACACACACACACACACACACACACACACACACACACACACACACACACACACACACATAAACAGTCTGGTTTTGCCGGGCCCGCCTGCGTGTGTGTTTTTCATAATACACCTAAACATTTATAAATCTGATTTAAGACCATATTAGGTTTCAAAAGGTTTCCACGAGCTGCCGCGGAGAGGAGCGCTAATAAGAGCCATACTCCGGCCTGAGACCGGGGCAGGGAACTACACAAAGACCTAAAGAGGGTCCAGGGTCCACCAGGGCTCCTTAAAGGGCTCCAGGTTAATGGATAGTTGCAAAACTTCACTCAATGTGATGATGGTCACCGTACAGAAACACTTGTTGATAAAAGAATGACTTCACATGCTGTTTAAGCAGAAGGAATAAAGAGGACAAATGCAACATTAGCCCTGTTCAGACCGTCGTTACAAGCCGCCATATTTACGCCCGTGTGATGTTTCACCTTCAATCTGATGTCCAAGAGGAGTAATGGGGAGGTGAAGTGACCCCCCCCCCCCCTTCAATCTTCAGCGGTAGTTACAGAGGCGTTACAGAGGAGAGACGGGATAAACTGAGCCAGCCGGGGAGAACAGCGCTGTGTGTGTGTGTATGCATGTCTGACTGTGTGTATATGTGAACTCCAAGAGGACGACCCTGTCCCACATGTCACGGCTGCGTATCGACACCCAAAGCCCAAAGCTCCGTTGTCCTACTCGGTGAGATGAAGTTAATGTGTTAGCTTAAGTTTGCCTAAACCACACCTTCAATTAGCTGACAAGAGTACTGATACATGGTCACCTCACCACACTCAGTCTCAGGTCCTTCAACCCTCCCTCCTTCATCATCCCTTCCTATTCAACTCGACACATCCCTCTCCCATATCCCTCTTATTCCAGGTCCAGTCTGAGCCGTAATCAGTTCGGGTAGATTAAAGCCCGAGACAGAACCCACACTCTCAGTCTCCCGATCACCCTCCCAGACCAGCCGAAAAGACGACGGCCATCTCTCCCCTCCACCCCTCTCTGTGGCGTTGTCCTTGCAAGTGACGACATGTTTAACATTCGCCGTCTTGATGAGATGACACTCCACCCCGAGTTGGAGGTGGAGACGTCATGTTGCCGTTTAATAGAGCAAAGCATGCAATAACCCGCAGAGGTCTCATGTCGCTCAGATTTCTAAAGTGCTGCAGTTTGTGTTAAAATGAACATCACAGACGCCTGCACAGATAAGACGCAGTAATAATAAAGCATGAGACGAGTATTGATCACGTTTACAGGGATGTGAAAGAACCAGGTGTCTGTTTAAACATCCTGACGGTGATCAGAACCAGGAGCAGACTCCCAATAAACCTCTGCTCTCCATCACTCCACATTCATCCACCTCCAACAATCTTTCACTATGTGTTCCATCCCTTCAGTCATCTGAAGTGTCTCCTGTTTCTCCTCGGCTCTTTACTGTCACTCCCTAACAGCCACTTCCCCCCCCATGTTCCCAGCCTCCCTCTAATCCCCCCCCCCCCCCCCCCATCTCCTGTGCCTTATCTTTCACTGTTTCACAGTTGACTAAACACTTTGCTTCTCTTTTCTCCTAATCTCTCCTCTTTTATCTAAATCTTTCACTCGTTTACAGTCGGCTACATTTTTCCTACACTTCTCTTTTTGTTTCTCAGCGTTCTCCTTTGCTCTCTTCATCCTTATTGCCATCTCTCTCTCTCTCTCTCCATCTCTCTCTCTCCCCCTCTCTCTCTCTCATTCACAGTGGAAACTTCTTCATGCTCTCACCAGGGAAACGACTCCGCACACAAACAAACAGCGAAGATGGAGTGGCAGGTGGAGAGCGACGCAAATGGTAAATGGACTTGAGCTTGAATATTTATTTTCTAGTCTTCTGATGACTCAAAGCGCTTTCCCACCTACACATTCACACGCTGATGGTAGAGGCATCTGTGTAAAGAGTCCGTCAGCCGCCAAAGAAGCGGGAGCAACTCGGGGTCAAGTGTCTTGCCCAAGTATGTCCTCCTTCTAACTTTAAATTCTAGTACTGAATGCTCTGGATTTGTTTGGACCAGAGAAGGTCGGCGGTTTTAAGGCACCCCCCCCCACACGGCCGTTTTGGACGCCCCTTGGTTTGCCAGATATGAGACCAGTTATCAGGTCAAACCAACAGGTGTTGCAGCAATGGAAGATTAATTCTTAAAAGATCTGGAAGACTTAAAGCTCGTACTGAGGCGTCCATTTGTTAAACACCTGGTCTGCTGAAGTGCGCCTGTGTGTGTGTGTGTGTGTGTGTGTGTGTGTGTGTGTGTGTGTGTGTGTCTGTGTGTCTGTGTGTGTGTGTCCACCCAACTTCACTTTAAACTTAACTGGCCAGCTGGTGGACAGACAACCCACAAGACGCTGGAGAACAACAGCTCTGACCTTTGTTTGTTGCCATTACAGGCACGTGTGTGTGTGTGTGTGTGTGTGTGTGTGTGTGTGTGTGTGTGTGTGTGTGTGTGTGTATAGAGTCACCCAGGTAAGGTGTGTGTTGGGGGGCTGGTTGACTTGCAGCACAGCTTTATTGGTCGGCTACACCACAGAGACTGAGAGAAGGCAGACGACGTTAAACAAATGACCGATCAGGTGACAAAGAGTCCCGAGAGTTTCATGAAATGGAAAGTCTGAGCGACCACCGCTGCGGTAACACAAGAAATATTAAGAGAAGACAGAGGTTTATGTTTCTGACATGTGGGGTTACTGCCCGGTCGGTTGTTTGTCTCTCTCTCTCTCTGTTTCTCCTCTTTTTTAAACTCTCCTCTTGTTGTTTTCTTGACCTCCTTTTGTTCCTATCGTTGCAACAATAAGGGGATTTCTAGCACAAACAGTTTCCTCTCTCTGTTCTGTCTCTATCTATCCCAAACACTGTGACATTTCCTTTTTTGCATCCTTATCTCTCCATCCCTCCATCCTTTCCCTTTCATCGTCGTCCAACGCTTCATTTACAAATGCGTTCCCTTCCTGCCCTTATTTTCCATCCAGTTCTTCTACTTCTTCCTTTCTCGTCCCTTCGTTCTCTCTCTCTCTCTCGATAGGTATGCTCAATTTCGCTCTCTAAACCTCCACGTTTCATAAGGAATCCTAATTGCCTTCTTCCTCTTCCTGTGCGCCCCACGCTCTGCAGTGAGTCTACCACCAGAAAGCAGAGACGGGCGTCAGAGTGATTCAGGATTAGACTTTAAAATGTTTGGAGATATGTTTTATCTTATAATTAGAGATAATCGTTTCCTTTCTTGCATTAAAGGCATAATGACATTTATAAATATCTCATAAATCCAGTCTATCCTGTGTAAATGTGTCTCTGAGTCATGACTGTCTACAATGAGTGAGAAGTCCCGCTGGCTGTGTTGTTGTCAGAGCCCTGTTTACATGGACTGGGCGGCTGGCTCCTCCCCTCGTGTATAAAAGCTGTTTTAGTCAAGGACTAGAGAGAAGAAGAACATACTCACTGATTACTTGGATGTTAGTAAGAGTTTTTAGATCACTCTCATTCTGTGTCACTTTACATGCAATGTGAAGCTACGTGCTAACTCAAGAGCGCTAACATTAGCATGCTAACACAACAATGCAGGACACAGGTGAGTGCAGCTCGGGCAGAGGACTATAAAGTCCACTGCCTGCGTTCAGACGTTACTCTCCGAGATGCTGGAGCAGTCTGTAGAAGGACGTGAGGGGGGCTTCAGTTCTCGACGGATCCACAGAGGCTAAAAGTCCTCGCTCTGTCCACCAGTCCACAAGAGTCCACAAGAGACAACAAAAGTCAACAAGAGTCCACAAGAGTCCACGAGGGTCAACAAGAGTCCACAAGAGACCGCAAGAGTCAGCAAGAGTCCACAAGAGACCGCAAGAGTCAGCAAGAGTCCACAGGAGACAACAAGAGTCAACAGGAGACAACAAGAGTCCACGAGGGTCAACAAGAGTCCACAAGAGACCGCAAGAATCAGCAAGAGTCCACAAGAGTCCACAGGAGACAACAAGAGTCCACA